ACATCATACCCCAGGCAGTTAGTTGTGAATTCAACACAACCAACAACGAAGCAGAATACGAAGCACTCATCATAGGACTACAATTAGCTAAGGACCTTCAAATCAAGGATCTTCAAGTATTTGTTGATTCTTTATTACTAACCAATCACTACACTGGATCTTATGCAGTGAAAGGTGAAAAATTAGCATTATACCTAAAGGTACTCAAAACGTTAGCCTCTAATTTCGAAAACTTTAGCCTAACCCAAGTTCCCAGAGAGGAAAACACAGAAGCAGATGCATTAGCCAATTTAGGATCCCACCAGAGACGAAGATTCCTATAACCCACATAATAACCCCAGCCATAGAAATCCTCTCCGACAAATCAGAAGATCCTAAGCATCCGACAAGCGTAGCAGCTATTGAAGATCCTGACCATAGGATCCTTTCTCAAAGGAATCCCGACGAACAGGATCCTCAAAGAAGTCCGTGATCATGGACCCAATCCATTATGGAGTATCTCCAAAATGGCACAATCCCGATAGAAGAAAAAAGCGAAAGAGCATTCAGAACGAGAGTCTCAAGATTCGTGTTAATTCAAGGTAAACTTTACAAATAATCTATGGCAGATCCATACCTTAGATGCTTGGAAGATCTCGAAGCTGCAAAAGTCTTAAAGGATATACATGAAGGAGATTGTGGCAATCACACTGGGGGCAGATCCTTATGCTCCAAAATACTAAGAACAAGATACTACTGGCCAACCATGAAGAAAGACTCCTTTCTACATGCTCAAAAGTGTGATGCTTGCCAAAGACACAACAACATCCTGCATCAACCGGCATAACCTCTACATCCTATTATCTCCCCATGGCCATTCATGAAATGGGGGATGGATATAGTAGGAAAACTACCAGTAGCCCCAGGAGGAAAAGTCTTCATGCTGGTGATGACTGATTACTTCTCTAAATGGATCGAAGCTGAAGCTTTTGTCTAGATAAGAGACAAAGAGGTAGTATCATTTATTAAACGTAATATCTTGACCAGGTTCGGGATACCGGCTAAAATCATATGCCACAATGGATCCTGATTTATTAGAAAAAGGACAAGAGACTTTTGCACTAGCTGGGGATCAAAATGATAATGTCCAGTCGTGTTCATCCCCAAGCTAATGGTCAAGCGGAGTCCAACAACAAAATCATAGTTAACAATTTGAAGAAAAGGTTGGACAAAAAGAAGGGAAGATGGGCAGAAGAACTTCATTTCGTTTTGTGGGCAGATAGAACCACTTCCAAAGTAGCCACAAGTCAGACCCACTATTCTTTGGTGTTTGGGACAGAAGCAGTAATCCCTACTAAAGTAGTGATCCCAACGACAAGATACTTGTTGCAAGACCAAGAGAATAACGACAGGATCCTAGCACAGGATCTTGACACTATTGCCGAGCTTAGGGATCTTGCCAAAATATGCATTGCTGCTCATCAACAAAGAATCACCAAGGCTTACAATAGGAATATAAGGGTCAGAAGGTTTAAAATAGGAGACTTGGTATTAAGGAAAACATTCCAAAACACCAAGGATCCTAGTGCAGGAAAATTGGCTCCCAAATGGGAAGGACCGTATCTTATAGATGCTGAAGCAGGAAAAGGAGCATACTGGCTAGCAACACTCGAAGGAGACGTTCTACCAAGATACTGGAATGCTATACACCTCAAAGCATACTACATGTAAGTAGGGTCGAATGATCCACAACAAAACCAAGGTACATATGCTCTTTACCTTAAAACTTTTATTATTACTGATTTTCTCCTCGAATACATTACTAACTTAAGCATCGGAGGGGCATTAGCTAGACTAACGCCCACCCCTAGCTAACGTTTGCTATGCAGAACAACGTACGGTTAAGGATCCTCAAGAGTGAAGATCCTGAAACATCAGGATCCTCACAATCGAAGATCCTAAAACATCAGGATCCTCAAGTTTAAACACCCTGAAGCACAAGGATCTTGACACATGAAGATCTCAATACTTGGTAAAACTCCATTATATTTAACAATGTAATCTCTAAACTACCATGTACACAAGCTAGAGGCTGATCATCTCTCCCATGCTTAAGGGTACTTAATCCCCTCTAAGGTTTAAAGAGCTAATTACCTCTTTCATACGAACTAAGGTTCATACACCTCGCTTAGACGCATGATATCTAACTGTGGAATACGGGTAAGGGGATCATTTCACGATTCAGTGGCTTGGCAACCCTCTTATATTTGAACACAAGTTGAGATCCTTAAGGTTTATAACATTTTCATGTTATCAAAGATTGGGATTTTTTCCCAGAAATTACATAAGGTCTATAACATCTTCATGTTGTCACACGTTGGGAATGTTCCCCAGAGAATACAGTCGAATTGTAACATTTTCATGTTATCTATCCAATGAATTATATCACAAGTTGGGATCCTCCCCAGAATATAACATTAACATGTTATCTATTTTGTCAAAGTCTATAATCTAAACAGGCCGTTGGTAACATGGGAAACGTGAGCGAAGACCTGGAAGAAACATAAACATCAGCATGAAAAATAATAGGTATGATAGATTAATATGAATAATGCCTATGCAGAATCCTTACAGCTTGGGAAAATGAAGACAACTTCCCAAGAGCATCCTTGATGCTAAGGTTCTCTAAGCTGCAGTCTACAGCCTCAGAAGTCTTTCATTTTCGGGATCCTGAAGCCTTAACCGTAAGATCTATATGAGATCTCTTGGGAAGAGGAAGAATGGCACCTTTTTCCTGTGTAGATTTGATTGAACCACTGGTCATATCATCTTCATGATCTGCCAAACCAAAGCGGGCGTTGGACCGGGTAGTCTTAGAACCTGCCAGAGATCCCTATCAAGTCAGGATCCTCTAAAAAGACATATCTGATAAAAATAATGTTACCAGTGGCCATAGAAGCAGTAGTGGAGGAACCCTCTTGAAGACTGGAATATTCAAGCTTGAACGACCTCTCAACTGCAGGAAGTGTGAGAAATTTAGAAATTTTGTCCTCAAAGTCACCGGCGGCAGGAATAAGCTCCTCAAACCTAAACGCTGCATCAAAACAAACAAAATAAGGGAAGTAAATTTTAGGATCCTTGATATCTAAATTTTTGACCAAAACATATTTATTTAATATTATTATTTAATTGATCATTATATTTTGATTATTTTTTATTTATCAGGAATCATGATTTTTGATTACTTTTTATTTATCAGAAATCATGGGTCAGTAACTCTTTATGGAATTCGAGTTGGTAAAAGTGATAGTCAAGTAGTGTAGAATTTAGAAGTTAAACATTTATAATGTTTTATGGTTGTAAGCACTTATTTGTGTTTGTGTTATAGACATGTAAAGTTATTATTATATATTTTTCAAACTTGAACAATTATTATACATTATAAATTGTATGTAATTCTATTTAATGGATTATTTGAATTTTTAAAGGGTTTTTTTGTGAAAATTGAAACGGATCAACCCGGGTTTAACCTGTTTAGTAAATAGGTTGGATTGAAAAAACAATAAACATGTTAACCCGATTTTAACCAATTTATTTAAAAAGTTGGGTTGGGTTGAGAATTTTCAACCCATTACTTAAACAGGTTGGGTTTGGTAGATATTTTCAACTTATGTAATTAAACCGATCAATCTGTTTATGATCCAACCCAACCCATTGTCATCCCTATTTATTTTCAAATTTTGATTTGAATATAAAAAGAATAAAATAAAATGAAATGAAATTTAAAGGAAAGAAGGTACATGAAGTATAGAAGAAGAAAATGAAATTGAAAGAAATAAAGAAATAAAAAAATATGTGGATTTAAAATGATAAAAAAATATATTTATAATAGAAAATATAATTTAAAAAAGAAATATAAAACAAAATATTTTGAGCCGATTGGAGGAATCACAAGTTCCTCAATCCGTTTCGAAAGCCAAAATCCCTACCAGCCCGAAAAAAATGTAATCCCCCAGGCCCCAACGGTACCACCTGTATCGCGAGCCCAACCCACCTCCTCCCGAGCCACTCTCACGACCCATTATCAAATAGTATTTTGGTAAAATATTAAAAATAGAAAACCAAACTATCAAATAGTATTTTGGTAAAATATTAAAAATCACATTGACTAAAAATGTCAAATATAAAATTCTATTCGTATTTTTTGCAAATAAACAAAAGCCTAAAGCGTAGGTTACACGTCATGGCCATCCTACCTCGTCACCATACTCTTGTCTTGTCAGTTGCTTCTATTGGTGTCAACAAACACCCCCCACTCCTATTTACACTTTACCACTTTTATGTTTCAAATTTAATGCTCTATTGCCCCCCATAAAACTATGATTAGTGCTAAAGTAGCCTTAAAACTAAGAAAATACTTCTAATCAAACCCAATTTCGACCACATCTTCTCCAAATCAACGTCATATCCATAATGGAATAATCCATTACATCATTTCTATAAATTTTGCATCCATAAAGATGTCGAAAATTGAGGGTTAGCAAATTGCTTCATAGAGCAATGTACTTTTATAGGTATCAAGTTATTATAAATTGTAGAAAAACTTTATTGGGTTTAAGATATGAATAAAATAAAATATAGTGATAGAAAAACATAAATATATTGTTATTTTGTTGCAATTTACTCGTTTTCAAAAACTAGTTGTAAAACCAGATTAGTGAAAATGTCAAAAATTTGAGATTAATGTACAAGTTTCGTTACATAGAGTACAAATTACTAAAAGGGTATTACCCAAACATAGAAAGCACTTCATGAAGCCCATAAGAAGAAAGAAACCAAAATTATGAAGATATGAAGAGAAGACTAAAATGTAGGCAAATTGTTGAACTACTAATGATCAAAATGTTACCATTTAGCATAACTTTTTCTTCATGCATACGCTGCTCTTGATCTTCAAAGCTAATTAATAACAAGAATCATCAACAATGGCAAAATTCAAAGAAGCTTTCACACTTTATTCATTTCTATAACCAAGAACAGTCAAAAAAAGAAACTTATATATGAACACATGTTGACTATAAGATGCAAAATTAGCAGAACCCAAATGAAAAAGCTAAGTTTAATTCAAGATCTAAACAGGGAATTTCAACATTTGGAAATCAAACCCCCGTTTTGAAGAAATCAAACAGCAAGTATTCCAGTTATTAATGATTATACTTCACCATTGTTATCAGCATCATCCTTAGGCGTGTCTCTAATACTACCTCTGCAAAAATTCAACAGAAAGTAAGAAGATGATAAGAAAAACTGGAGTTTAGAATCGATGGATAGATCAATCAGATAACAAGATTGCTGAATTGTTGATCGGACGATTACCTTTGCGGTTTCGGTATCATCGGGAACTCTGTATAGGTCGGCGGTGATTTCCGTCAGCCACAATCCGGGAAACAGGGTCTGCATCGGAGAAATCAATGCAACAGTGATGAATATGATCGTGATCTTAAGGATTTGTAGTTTGAAGAAAGTGGGGGAGTTAAATCGGTTATGAAATTTCACTTACATCCAATTGCTTTTGAATAATCCTTGGTCGTTTCTTCGGCTTACGTGGAAGTCGCCGGCCGGCCATAGCCGTGAAATCATCTTCCAATTCACGGCGAGAAAGTGGAATTGAGAATTTGGGTCTGTCTCTCTTCTCGCCACTGGTAGTTACGGTGGCTGTAGCGACGCCACCGACAGGTCGGGGTCTCGGAGATTTGTTGCCTTCGTTTCTCACCGGAGATACATTAGGTTTCACAATATCACCATTGCCGTTGACTCCATTCGAAGGGGAAGGAGCTTTGCACGCAGCTCGTCTAGTCCTCAAATTCCACGGCCTCTCCGCCGGAGAAGTAGATGTCGTTGCAGTCGTTGTTGTTGTCGCCGGCGGCGGCGGCGGATCGACAAGAGTTTCTCTTAGAATCGCATCCTTCATCTTCCCGACCTCCGTCTGGAAATCGAACATCAGCTTCTCTCGAGTCGCCTCGATCTCACCGTCTCCGGCTCTCGCCTTCAATTTCTCCGACGAAGAAAACTTATAATAACTCTCCACCTTGCGATCATCACTTGATCTAAATCTTCTCTCAAACTCCATCTCCCTCCGCCGTGTTCCAATCACGGTGCCCCTTCCCCCATCACATCCACCGCCGCCGCCACTCTCCGACGATTGTTTGCGATCGACGGCGGACACGTCGCCCTTTGAATCCACCTTCATACACCGAAGAAGCTTCTGATTACCCCACTTCAAACACGGCAAATCAAAATTGTGCAGCCGCTTCAATCTCTCCATCTCTTCTTCCTCCACCGCTTCTCTTTCTCCGCCGCCTCTTCTCCTGCCGGAAAATACCATCAAAACCTCTCTGAATCTCCCTTTAATCAAAATTCGTGACAGATTATCAGGAGGGTTTTCCCTGGTTCTCCTCGTGTGTTTATGTGAAATCGCCGCGAAACGTTCATATATGAGGAGTCAAGAGGGGTGGAGGGTGCGATTTAACGTTCGAGGTGGCAGGTTCCCAGTGCTAATGTACGCATTATGAGTTTTGTGCGCATTTTTGGTGTGAGGTGAAATGAGAGGCGACTGAATTTCAAATATGAGTCTTCATATAAGCCGTTGATCTACACGTACTATTTTCTGCCAGCCGTTGGATTTTATTTTTATTTAATCATTTCTTATATAGGGATCCCCATTAATTATTCCTATAACAAGGCTTAGTTGCCGAAAGATCCTTGCACTTTGGTGTTATTGCAATTTAACCCTTCCAAATCTGGATAAAAACCCTTGTTTATTGTATAGATATAATTACTAACTAGAAAAGATTTTCAAACTTGTTATTTTCGAAACTTTTATTTTTAACCTAATTGTAATACATTATGGGATACTAATGAATTGATATGAGATTGTGTTACTAAGACCCTTTTGTAGACAAATAATGCTTATAAATTGAAGTTTTATTGTAACCCTTTTTATAAAAGTATTTGAACCAAGTTTGTAAAATAAATTGAAAATTAAGCCAAAACTGTAAAAAGATAAAAGGAAAGCTAAATGGGGCACGTAATTCGGGCCATGGGTGGGGCGGATATGAGGATTCCGAGTTTTATAACCCGCGCAAGAAACAAAAAAGACAAAATTACAAAATGGTCCTTGTGGTTTACCAAAAGTTACAAAGTCAGTCCCTATTAATTTTTTTTGATGCAAATGGTCCTTGTGGTTTGCGAAACTTGCAAAGTTGGCCCTTTTTACTAACACCGTTAGTAAAACGCCGTTAGGGACTAATTCTGTAAGGGCATTTTCGTCTTTTCAAGTATAGAATGACTGAATTCGTGACATTTGAGAAACCCCAGGGACCATTTTTGAAATTTGTTTGAAAAAATAAATTATTTTTGCTGAAGGTAGGGGGGGAAGGCTCGAAGCCGGGGTTGGAAGGTATTGCTTTGTAAAGTAAAGTAGCATGTTGGTTGCTTTTTGTCCGTTAATGTGAGGGTAATTTGGTCTTTTCAGGTAGTAGGGACTGAATTTGTCACCATGGGTAAACCATATGGACCATTTATGTAATTTTGGCGGTGGTGGTGGTGGTGGTGATGGCAGATGGTGGGTGGGTTTATGGTATTTGGTGAGTATTTTCTAACATTAATTTAAAACCAAAAAGAGAATGTTAAATCTGGTAAACCACAGGGACTAATTGTGTAATTTTGTCTAACAATAATAATAACAAAATTGACAAAAAAGTGCCACTTTATTGTTAAATCTTTCATAACTTTAATATATATATAACAATAATGATGAGGGACCATTTCTGCCAAAAGACTAAATACTAATAATATGTAATAAAATGCGAGGGTTATGAAAAATTCAAACCAAAATGAAAGGGTTGTTTGTGAACAAAAGCATAAAGATGAAGGGTCAATGTTGTAAGTTGGAGGACCAAAATTGACAAAAAAGATGCCACTTTACTGTTAAAATCTTTCATAACTTTAATATATATATATATATATATATATATATATATATATATATATATAATAATTTATAAGATTTATAAGGAAATTAGTAATCTAGCCGTTGTTTAGTTGTTTTTTTAAATAACCATAAAATTTTATGTATTTTTGAAAAATTAGCATTTGGTTTGGAATGTTCAAATCCGTATTTCGAAATGGATAAACATGTATAGTGATCCGACCCGGTAATATGGTTCCCCTATAAATAAATTTTGAACCCGCTTTTATTTTGGACTTCATTTCGAACTTGCATTCATTCCGGACAACATTTCAGACAACATCAAACTCAAACAATGTCTTCCTCTAGCAATAAAGTGATTTAGTTTTTTTTTGGTGTGTCTCGATATATTCGTTTTTTTTCTTCTAATTTGGTGTGGTTACATAGGCATTAATCGTTTTCCTTCAAATTAGAGTAGTTTTTAGGCTATTGTATGATTATATGTGAGAATATGTGTGAACTAGAACAACAAATCTAAAAAAAAAACTAATTCTAAAATAGTTCGTAATGACTCTGGGATATGAAGATCTTGTCAAGAATCTGTAGAACAAGTCTGGAATACATAGAATTATTTTGGAATGGTATTTCAGAATGCTTCAGTACGGAATAGAGTCAATGTAGTCCGGAATGTTCTCCAAAATATAGGTATTTAAGTCAGGAATGTGCAACAAACGCCTAGTTATAATTCCTTTTATTGTAGCATAAAAAAACATATGGTGTGGTTCACTACAACCTGCAGACCTGAATTGGGTCGAGAAATCATGACCCGTTTACACACACCACAACGTACGACCATGTTAGAGCAGCTTCTTTTGGTGCTTATGTTAACATATCGATGGGTGTCAATGTCACGTTTTACTATGTCATTATCTTATATGCAAGGAAGTTAGTACTTATCTTTGGGTTGACCTATATAAGCTTTTATTTCCAGTAAACGACTATTGGGTTTTCTTTGACAGGAAAGCTTTCTACCTTATTAACGACTTGCGATTCGGGGACTATTTCCCCGCTACTTAATCTTCGACACAGTTCAGACGGCGTGTCTTTCCATTTGTGTTTTCCTCAGAGTCAGTTAAAAGTTGTTGACATTATTCAGGTGTTTAATTACTCACTTCATCAATTACAAGATGCATATTCTGTGTGAGTCACCATGTTGTATATGTTAGAGCATTGATTTAATGGTAGATACTCTCGATAACTAGTTAATGATGAATATCTTGCACATATCTCTAATTTAAACGAGTTTAATAGGTAAATATATATATATATATATATATATATATATATATATATATATATATATATATATATATATCAAATGATACATTTAATTTATAGTTATTAAATGTAATTGTTAACACATGTGTAACGTCCCATTTTCACATCAAAAATTTTCATTTTTAATTAAGGTAAAACTGCTCATTTTTAGAATACAAGTTACGAGAACCATTTATTTCAATTTACAATTATCATAAATCAAAGTAATATAATAACGCGGAATCCTCAAAGTTGTTGATGAGTGTGTATAGTTATACCTTCGCCTTCCCACAAACCGTTGATACCTGAAAAACAACAGTAACTGGGTAAGCATAAAGTTTAGCGAGTTTTACCCAAAATATCCCATACGACAAACATAATAGCATGCATAATGGGAACACAATCATCGGATTGGATTACCCCGGGTGTGTTGGTCTGCCACCTCAACCCAACCATTCTTCCTGAGCTTCCGTGCCTACGGCTTACAGCCGGCATGCACCAAGTATCTTGGCCTACAACACACAACATGACCGCCTCAACCTAACCCACCACCATATGTCAACATATAAACAATCTGTAACACTCCAGTTGTAACATCCTGATTTCCAGGAATGAGATTTTATGGATTTGCATGCAATTAAGGAAACCTACTCGACGAGTTGCAGGCCCCAACTCGTCGTGTAGAGATTAGTCAGGCCGCGTGATTTATGAGGTCTACTCGACGAGTTGGAGGACCCCAACTCGACGAGTAGGAGCTGGAAAATGAAACCCTAATTTCCAGGGTTTTACACCCTATTTAAAGGGTCATTAGCCTCCCTCTGCCTCCCTTACCGTCCTCCTTGAGCTCAGAAAACCCTAATCACGCCTACTCTCCATTTTTGTGTGATAAGAAGCTTGGAAGGTGGATTTTGTGAAGAGAGCTTGAAGTCTAAGGAGCTTGGAGCAAGTAGAAGCTTGTGGATCTGATTTCTACTTCATCTTAGCATCATCTTGAAGGTAAAACGTCGTTACCTTGACTTCTCTCTAGCTAGATCTCTTCATGCAAAGGTTTAGGGCTATTTCTAGTTTGTTATGAAGTTATCTCTGGTTTTGGGCATGATCTGAAGTTGTAACTTCAGATCTGGACTCCTCTAGCCCCTTATAGTCATAACGTTCCGGTGTTTAGCAAGTTAGAACCTTCCCCTTACCTAAAACCTCTTCCTTAGCTTGGTTTTGGCCTTTAAGACCTTGCATGCACGTAAAGTTTGCAACTTTATATGGTAACTATGCCTTAGGAAGCTAGATCTGCAATTTGGAGCTTTAGGGTAGATTAAAAACGTATGAATGAGAAATAGACTGAAGGGACCCGACGAGTTGCATGGTCAACTCGATGAGTCAGATGAAGATTGGCCGTTTTTGGTTTCTGCATGGACTCGGCGAGTTAGTAAGATGACTCGACGAGTTAGTTAGGGTTTTTCCCGACATTTGGACACCACATGGACTCGACGAGTTGTCTGGAAACTCGGCGAGTCGACTAGGGTTTGCATGACTTCTTGAGTTCTGAAGGAACTCGACGAGCCAGTTAGCTACACTCGATGAGTTGGGTCAACATGGACTGTTGACTTTGACCGTTGACTTTGACTTTGACAAAGGGTTGACCGGTTTGACTTCTAGGGGTATTTTAGTGATTTGGATTTATGGAAGTGGATTAGTTTGAGTTTGGAGCTGTACTTGGGGAGTTTGACATCATCATCCCGAACTACTTGTGAGGTGAGTTCTTCTCATTATATCAACAAGGTCTAAGGCACCAATGTCGGCCCTTTATGATTGTATCATGGTTATAGGATGGTTGTTATGTTAGTGATCTGTTAGATCGATATCCTGGCTATAGGATTATGCTATGTTAGTGATTTGTTAGATCGGTATCCTGGTTATAGGATGGTTGTTATGTTAGTGATCGGTTAGATCGGTATCCTGGTTATAGGATGGTTGTTATGTTAGTGATCTGTAAAATCTGTATGACTATCTGTACGATCTAGCTAGCTTATGATATTTATGTGCACATGATTGTTTGATTGAGGGTTTGGGTTGAGGTGGTCATGCTTTGTGCTTATGCCAACATACCCAGGGCGGACCAGATAGACTGCAGACCCGGTTAGGGCATACTAGTCAGGCCGAAGGCCCGATGAGCGGTCCGGATAGGCTGAAGGCCTTGAGAGGCGATCCAGACGTGCCGATGGCTCGGAGAACGGTCCAGATAGACTGATGGCCCTGCGAGACGGTCCAGTCAGGCTGATGACTCATTATGCATGCTATTTGTTTATAT